TAGGACGGCAGGCAGCGGGTGCCCAGCAGGGTGCCCTGCCTGCGCGGGCAATGGGTGTTGTAACACCCAGGGTGCCGCTGGCCCCAAGGCCATCGACTTAAAAACGGAGTGCTGGCAGCGGGTAGGGACCATCTTGGAGGTGGGGGTGCTGCCGGTGGGGTGGGGACCCCCATCTCACCTGCGCCGGGGAGCACGCCGCCCGGGAAAGCTCCAGGAATCCCAGCACCTGCCAGGCGAGAGAAAAGTTGGGATGAGCGCCCATGCGGAGCCATCCCCCACCCCGGACACCCACCCGTCGGCTTCGGGACCGCGCACCTACCTGGTATTTTGGGGGGTTTCCCTGCCGCGCCAACCCCGGGCTGCACCCCTCCCGGTACCACCGCACCTGCGGGCAGCAGAGACCCCCTGAGCCCCGGGCATCCCACCGCCTCCTGCCCACCCTGGCAGGCACAGGGATAGCTCTGCCCTGGGCTATGTTGGGAACGAGGGGTATTTCCTACCTGTGGGGACCCCGAGGCCACCAGGACCACCGATTCCACCCACGCCAATGCCAGCACCTGGGGGCATTGGGAAGAGGAGTGTAGCAGTGTGAGGTGCCACCGCTGGGCTATAGGTGGCCAGAGCAGTGCCAAAGGAAGGGACAAGCTCAGGACGGCTCTCAGGGGGTGAAGGGGATGCCCTGAGGCAGTGTCAGGCATGGGTCCCCCAAATCTGGGCACGGGGACCAGGAAACTCGGTGCTTTCCACTTCTGGGGGCTCAGGTTTGGCCAACACCCCTTTCCCGGCACACCGAGATGTGCCAACATCCCTCTGAATTGCCGAGGATCCCTGCCAGCGCAGCACCTCCCGCTCGCACCCCGCCAGCTCCGGGGGGAAAGCTCTCCTAACCCAAGTTCCCAAGGGACACCGGGAGTCCCCGGGGGGCTGCCCGAGCCCCAACCTTGCCTTGCCCGGCATGGTTGCCCAGCCCAGCATGGCACGAGCCACCCCCAGCACTCACCAGCTTTGGCAGCAGCCTTGAGCGCAGCGGCGGAGGCAGCACCACCGGGGAAGACGCCTCCGGGGAAGACACCTCCAGGGAAGAGACCCGCAGCACCTGCGGGGAGGAGAATAACCGGCGTGAGCATCCCCAAAAAGCAGCCGGCAAGAAGGTGTCCTGGCCTCCATGCCGGCCACAGTGGGCGCAGGGGGTAGTGAGCCATGGGGGGGCTGCGCGGCAGTGCCGGGGGCTGGCGTTAGGCTGGGCAAGGCGGTGGTTAGCAGGCGCTGCCCTGTCCCTGCATCCCCCCACCCTCTCTCAAATACCAGCTCCCATCCACATCCCACCCGTCACCGGCTGTGCCAACACCACCAGGGGCACCCTGCGGTGTCACCTGCTGCTGCACACACCGGGGTCCCTTGTGACCCCGGGCAGGCTATGGGCTGGCACCATCCAGAACCCCATGGGGACTCCAAGTCCCTCCTAACCCGTCACTGCTCGAGGTCACCCAGCCATGGTTGATGCCATGATGTTGGGGGACCACAGGGCTGCCTGTGGGTGGCCGCCAGTCTCTCAGGTCTGGGAAGGGCGCCCAGCCCAGGTGGGACCCACCAGGCAGGACACAGAGAGCACCCCATGGGGACAAAGCCACGTGCTGTCCCCACGATGGGTCTCTAGATGATCTAGATGATGGACTAGATAATCTCCAGAGGTCCCTTCCGACCCTGACCATTCTGTGATTCATTCTGTGATTCATTCTCTGGGGACATCACCCTGGGGACAGTCCGGAGCGGGGCCGGCCGGTGGTCTGTGCTCACCTGGCTGCAGACCAAGTGGGCCGAGTCCCCCGAGGCCTCCGACCCCTGGAAAGAGAAGTGGGGTGAGGTAGGGGGGGCACGGCCGGGGCCAGAGGAACAGGAGCATCCCGCTCGCACCGTCCCCGTGGGACGGGAGCAGCAGCAGGGTGACAAACGTGCCTGCCAGCATCCGGGTCCCCCATCTCGTCCCTTTCTGCCCGCCCCCCACCCCGCCAGGCCACGAGGGGACGGAGCCGAAATGTTTATGGCTGAGGAATGAGTCCCTCCGGCTCCGGCCAACGCTGCCTTCCAACATCTGGGGCTAATCAGCCCTCGCTCCCTCCAGGCGCAAATTCCACTGCCTTTGGCTCAGGGCGCGGACACTGCTCCGGCTGGGGCTGCGCGGCCGCGCCGCGTTTGGTTTTAATTATGCCGAAATAAAGGGCCTTGTTTTTCTTTCCACGAGCTGAAATCTGAGTAAACGGAGGTTGCCGGCCCCCGCCTCCGGCTGGCGGGGGTTGCAGTGTACCCCTGCCCCGGGGCACGGCGGGTACCCCTGGGGCGGGCAGGGAGGGGAGACCCGGGTCTCTGCCTAAAACAGCATCTCTCCCTGGATCGCCGTGGGCACCGGGCATCTCTGTTGACACCGGATTTACCCCCTGCACTTTCAGTCCCTTCTCCCCCAGCACCTCCCAACCATACCCGGTGCCTCCTGGGGTTCGGTGCCCTCGGGCTGTGCATCCTCCTGCCACCATCTCATCTCTCTCCCAGCGATGTCCCCTCTCACCCCCTCATTTCCAGGCCAGACAAACCCCAGCGTGGGCTGCAGGCGCTCCAGCAAAAGCTGCTCGGCCGCGAACACGGGCAGGTGGAGGTGCTGCCAGCTTCCCGCCGGCACCGGCTCCTGGCGGGGCTGAGCGAGCGTTATGAGGTTTTGCGTCTCCCTGAGGAGCTTTGGCGCAGGTTTGCGGGCAGCAAGCACCCCGAAAGGGTGGTCCAGGGGGGGCTGGAGGGGTGCGCCAAAGCGGGGGACGAGGGAGGAAGGGTCCTTTGCGGCCGTGGGGTCTTGGCGGGGGTTAGTGCGGCAGGGCAGGGCGGAAAGCGCCGGCTGCTGCGTGCCTTGGCCATGAGGGTGCCCAGGGTGGGTGGTGGGGGTTCCCCTTGGCCACGTGGGAGAAACACGAGGGCAACGGAGGTTGGGTAATATCCTGGCCACTGGCACAGCCAGAGATGGCAAGTGAGCCACGGAAAGACTTCTTACCTGGTTTGAGAGGTTTTCCTGCAGCCCCGAGTCCTAAGGGAGAGCGAGTGGAGAGGGGTCAGAGCTGTTCTTCCTCTGAGCATCCCCCCAAGGAGGGGGGACGCCGTGCGGGACAGGGCCAGCCTCATGGCAGACCCCCAACTTGCCACAAGGCACCTCTGCCAGGGGTGCTGCCCTCCTCCCCGTCCTGGCACACCCTGGGCAAAGGGGTCTCAGCACTCACCTGCTCCCAAACCGCCGACTCCAGCACCTGCAAGCAACGCCAGTCTTAGCACCCATCCCTGTGAGCGCCCATCCCTGTGAGCACCCAC